AAGTAGAAGAGGAAGATGGAGAGGAGGACGGAGATTGGAGTGACGAAGAAGAAGCAGGTGGTGTGCAAAATGATGACCAAAAAGATGCAGATATGGAGGAACTTGAGAAAGAATATATGCATCTTCGTCACCAGGAGCAGTAAGAAATTGTTAAATTCTTTTCATTGCTTCCTTTTACCCTTCATAAATCACTGCATGTTAGAGAAAATTATGAACGAATGCGTAAATTGTAGCCCTTCTAATTTCTCTTTCAGACTTCAAAATTGCATAGATATTGATTTTTTAAAGCCCACACTTCAAGTTTCTTGTGTAAATCATCTTTTTCATCAAAATTAATTATAGCAGAAACTATTAGTTAAATATTTTCCTGTGTTCATTGTAAAGTTCTAGTCTCCTTTATTCTTAGGATCTTCCGGCATGTTTGAGAGTGACCAAAATTACTTTTGTTGGTTATTTTGAGCATAACCAAAATATGCCATGTAATAACTTCAAGTAATGTTTGTTTTTTTGCATTCTCAACTTTTGATGTGTAGTTCTATTGAATTTTATCATCGTTTTCATTTTTGGTACGCTCCAATTATTGTTTGAATCAGAGACATTTTGAAGAATTTGAAGCAACATAAGGATGAAGATCTTCTTAAAGGCCAAGCAGTGAAGAATCAAAGGGTATGCCACTTTTTCTATGCTTTGATTTCATGTTTTACTGAATAGGTTTGATTTTATGTGCAATGGAATAGAATTGACGAAGTTCTATTGTATTTTACAGTTTGGTGGACTATTTAATGTTCTCACAATATTTCCTTTCTGGTTTTAGGCTTTATGGGACAAAAGTCTTGAGCTTAGATTTTTGCTTCAAAAGGCATTCTCCAACTCAAATAGATTGCCAAAGGTAGCTAACTATCATTCTTGACATCTAGTTTCTGTTATATTTTCAAGTGAAAGTTTTGTTCAAAATAGTTTATGATTGTGCAGGAGCCAGTTAAGTCTTCATTTTGTAAATTAGATAAGGATGTTGAGGTGGCATATTCAGATTTGATCACATCGTCAAAGAATACTTTAAATTCTTTATTGGAACTACAAGAGGTGTAATTTTTCATATAACATTGTACCTTCTATCTATGATGCTCATGGCTGGTATCTCTTATTTAACTCGGTGGTTCTCTTTTACGACAGGCTTTACTTGAAAATAATAAGCATATCGTCCAAGCTACCGATGGTATGGAAACTTTCATCTCTGTATCTTGTATACTACATAAATTTTATCATGCATAGCCTGCTGAGATGGAGAAGTGGGCATTAACTTTGATGGGATTGTTGGGTTCACTTACTGTGTATCCTTTCTTAAATAGGAGCTCAGATTATTCTTATGGCAGTGGGCTTGTTAGGGTCAATTATACACAGTTAATCTATTGTTGGAAGTTATGCTGGGCATTATTATTATACTTTTATGGTTTGTTAGTGCTAGTGCCACCATTTGTTTCCAGAAATCTTTACATCTTGAAATTATTTAAGACAACCGTGTTTCTTGTGGACCTGTGAGATACCTCCAGAGCTTTTTCTTTTTGTACTCGTGATAACAAAAGCGTTTGTTGCATGTGTGAACCATTAATAGTGGCGCATGAGTTAACATTGACTGAGCTTTTCTTTTTTTTTTCTGGCCACTTCAATCCTCCTTCTATAGGCCATCCTGGAGTATCAGCTAACCGTTTGGAGTCTTCCAAAACCGTAGATGCTCAAAATCATAATGATGAAGATTGGTCCCAAGTTGCTCATATGTATCAAAGGTGCTCCTCTTTCTCTGAACAAAGCACCATTATGCTCGACTTATATTCACCTTTTCTGAAAATTATAGTTACATATTTTTTTAGACAGTATAGATTAATCAAACAATTTTGCTGAAGGATTAGGATGTGCAGTGGTCTAAGACAATTGTGAACAAATAGGGCATTATATGTTGATATATGCTTTTATATGGCAGAGAAGCAACCTCTGTACTTTTTGTCTTCGCTGTTGCAGACTTGATGTTATATTTGACTGACTTAAGCAAAAAGCTTTTGTTCTTCTTTGTTCAATTTCCTCACTGAATCATGCCGTCTCTCTCCCCAACAATTGTAGAGGAACATTGAAATAAGACTGAAGTAAAGATGAAAATATGAATAGTTAGACTTCCAAAGATGGAAGTAAGGGAGACGGGAATGTATTTAGTGATGAATGATTTAATTTATCAGGTCTTTGCTATTTGATTTTGTAGTTCATCTTTTAAACCAGAATATTAAATGAAAACAAACTGCTTTCGAATGGGCTCTTCATCATGAGCCATTTGTTTTATTCTTTCGTTCTTATGTGTCTGTGTCAATGTGAGATCCCACATCGGTTGAAGAGGGGAACAAGCATTCCTTATATGGGTGTGGAAACCTCTCCCTAGTAGACACGTTTTAAAACTGTGAGGCTGACGGCAATACGTAATGGGCCATTGCGGACAATATCTACGAGCGGGGGGCTTGAGCTGTTACAAATGGTATCAAAGCCAGACACCGAGCGGTGTGCGAGCGAGAACGCTGGCCTCTAAGGGGGTGGGCTGTTACAAATAGTATCAGAGCCAGACACCAAGCGGTGTGCCAGCGAGGATGCTAGGATCCCAAGGGGGGTGGATTGTGAGATCTCACATCGGTTGGAGAGGGGAACAAGCATTCCTTGTATGGGTGTGGAAACATCTCCCTAGTAGACGCATTTTTAAACCGTGAACTTGACGACTATTCATAGTGGGCCAAAGCGGACAATAACTACTAGCGTTGGGCTTGGACTATTACATTTTATAACCCACTAAAGTAGCTTCACTTTTTCAAGTGTTTCTTTCTCGGAAATTATTTAACTGGTTGCCTTCAACTCTCTTCATGACTGTGTATGAAGATTTTAAATGATGATTATAAATGAATATTACCTGAGGATTTATGTAGCTTCTAAGGAATGGATGTTGAGAAAGACATACACGTTGGTAATATTGCAGGATAGGAGCTTTCAGAGACAAGTCAATTGACAAATGGCATAGGAAAACACAAGTTACAACAGGTGCTGCAGCTATTAAAGGAAAATTGCAGGCCTTTAATCAGGTCAGGTCCTGCATGCTACGTATCCTTCCTTGCTTGCTTGCTTGCTTTGTGTGAGAAATTACAATACTAAATTATTATGTTGATGGTAACAGAATATTAGTGAACAAGTAGCTTCATATATGAGAGATCCAAGTAGGATGCTTAATCAGATGCAGCTAAGGAGATCAACCGTGCACGTATTTGGGACGGTAATAACAAGCAACTGGTTATTCTACAGTATTCGGTGCCCTTTCTCCTAATGCTGCCAATGCTAATGCTTTTATTGCTATTTTGCATGGTGATGACAGGTTCTTACCGAAGCCGAGAGCAAGGAGCAGGTAATACTGTCTGTTTATGTTTCTTTCTTTCGATATGCCTCAGAAATTTTAATGTTTCTTTATTCTTAACTTCACTGTGGTTAGGAAGCACAAACTGAAGGAGGAGATCCTGAACTTCTGGAGGACTCTGAATTCTATCAGCAATTATTGAAGGAATTCTTTGAGACGATTGATCCAAATTCATCTGGTACGGATTCTCATGTCACACATGCTTTGAGCTTAATTTTAAAATAAAATTGAATTACCATGAAAAAGAACTATATAAGAAGTGTGGATGTTGATAGTTGGGGTGAATGTGTGAACAGAGACGGCGTTTTATGCATTGAAAAAGATGCAAACGAAGAAGAGGAAGATAGTCGATCGGCGAGCGTCGAAGAGTCGTAAGATAAGGTGGGAGTTTGATCATTTTGGGTTGGTATTTTGATTGTTGGTATGATAATATTGATTCGATTCGATTTGAATACTTGTTGTAGATACAATATCCACGAAAAGATCGTGAACTTCATGGCTCCTATGCCTGTGGATCTTCACCAAGCCACTCCCAAACTAGTCAACAACATTTTTGGTTTGAAACAACACAAGTCGGCGGCTACTACCACTGCTGTTTAGCGCATCTGTTCCGCCCTACATTTTTGTACTTTTTTCATGTTACTTTTTTATTCAGCTCCTTAGATCTTTACACTACAATTACGAAGTTCATGAGTATGTTATAAACGTTTTCGTTTGAGTTAGAAAGTTTTGTTCACCTCTAATCCAATGCGTGGAAATAACAATATTATACATCTTTGTCTATTCCTTTATTTTCTCTGAGAACTTGACATTTTATAGATATTTTTATCGACGTTACTGTACCATAAAAATTGAAATATTTGAGTACAATATTGACATTCTTTAGTCTAGGTTTGACTAGGACATCAGCCAAGCCTTTGATACCATAATAAAAAAACATAATTCAAATAAAAGGTTATTATAAATGATATTTAAATACAATTTTGAATTGCATTTTGTAAGAATTTTTCAGGTGTAATTATATTTTATCAATGATGGTTAGAGTTTGTAGCATTCGTGTTAAAAAAAAATTATCAGACATTAGGAGGATTTTTGGTATTATTGAGATAATTATTATAAAAAATATATTTCATATTCTTTCTTTCCAGTGTCAATTATGCTATTTGAGTATTCTAAAATTATTGTAGCTTCTTCGCCTATTTCGAAGACTATTTCGACATCAATATACTCTAATAAAAAAGATCAGATCCTTCCCTAAACCAGAACAAGGAAGAAAGCCGAAAGTGAGCTCTTAGGGTCATTCCATCAAATATTTGAGAAGTTCGTAGCGAGGCGATAGATTTCACTTCTATAGTTGCCTCTCCAGCTGTTGCAAACACTGAGCGAGACAAGTAAGAAACGCACAACCTAAGGAAGACAAATTAGGAACGCGAAGGCCTTTCTTTTTCGAAAGGAGACATTTTTCAAATCACATAGTGGGTTAGTATCTCTTTTGAATATATCCAACTTTAACTAATTAATGGTCAATAAATCAGAACAAAACATATATTGAAAAGGTAACTAAATATATAAATAATGAAGCAACCCATTCAAATCTTTCATGCATTACAAGAAATTTAACTTGCATGACCAGGAAAAGAAAGAAAAATAAAAAGTGGAAAAACAAGATTGACAAATCAGCACCAGGAAGGATGGAAGTTTCCTAAATGAAGAAGAAATTATTACTCAAGGAAGGTTATGAACATACACAAGTACTCAGTACACTCAGACAAATACCCAACTATAGTGATGATACAGAAAGTAATGAGCCTCTTCTTGAATCTTTAACCATCCGAATTGCAGTCTGAGCCGAAGACTCGACTCGACTCGTGATCAAGACTTTAAATCACAAAATCCAAGATTTCATGAACAGTATAAACAAAAACTCATTCATCTCGTGTTCTTGGACGAATCCCCAAACCATTTCTGATATTAGCTCCTACTTCCATCACGTCTTCAACCTGATATAACACAACACACCAAACCCACAAATTTGTATTCATACACTTTACTTCAGCAAGAATTTCTTCTACAAACATACTTTTTCTTACACAAATCAAGATCAAGCCCCTGATTTTGTGTGAGGAATGACAATAATGGCTTCATTCGGATCATCCATAAGAGCAACAAGAAATCAGAAAACTGCTTAAACACATTTTGATAGTGATTTACAAACGCAGTAAGAAAATTTCTACAAAGGCAATGAACTGAAACTGATCTGAAAATAATTTCTCTTCCACTACCCAATAACAGCAACCATTATTAGATTGGATGAAAACAATGCTCGTTACTTAAGTTCTTTTATAAGTTCACTCTATCATGACATCAATGCTCAAATCATGTAAAAAAATTTCTAAATTCAATCAAGAATATACCTGAATTTCACAGCAATATCAAGCCAAGGGAGAAAATGCTCGAAATTAACAGCAAGATTATTAATATCAGCTGCAAAGAATCCAACACAACCTAAAAATCTAAAACCTACAAAAATATTTTTCTTCTTAATCAATGGACGCCAATTCTGATTCGATCAATTGTTTCCAGTTTCAGTGTTTCGATCAAATTGAGTGTTAAAAACTAAACAAAATGTCCTTCTAGACATTAACCAAATTCACCACATGCGACGAATAAAATTTGGCTTGAGAGTTAATTCTTCAGAGGACGACACAAGTTCAAAGCCAACTTAATCAGAGTTGCGCAATTAACCTCTAACGCAATCCAAATCAGGGGGAGGGAGGGAGAAGAAATGAAACTACTAGATGCAGAATAGGAAAGAAGGTGAAGTAAACCTTGTGGATGCCGGCGGCCTTTAAGGAAGCGATGGCGGACGAGGAGGCAGCGCCGACGAAAAGCGAAGCAACGGCGAAGGCCTTAAAGGGCATGAGGCTAGAATCGCCGATAACTCCTCGCCGAAAAGAGGCGATACCCCAACCAAGCTGCGTTGCGCCGGCCAAGGCCCACCACCAATGGGCGTTACTACCACCGTCGCTTCCTCCGTTCTCCACCATCTCTCTTTCCCTGCTTTCGCCTTTCTCTTTTCCCCATTCTGTCGCCGTCGCCGTCAACGATTTAGAACCCGTGTGGACCATTGTAAATGGGCCTGATCCTGGGCCTAAACTTTCTGATTGAGGCCCAAATTCTTCTGATATAGCCCAAATTCTCGCTGCTATTTTCTGGTATCATTTAAATATAAGTTTAATCCCTCCCCTAAACTTTAAATATTTCTTCAAATTTTAAAAAATTTAATTTAATAGAGCCTTAAATTTTAAAAAATATTACATATTTAATTGTTTTAAAATTTTAATTAATTTATTAGATATAAAATTGAATTTCAATTTTCAATTTTATGTCCAATTAATCTATAAATTTTTTAAAATTTTACATTCCAAAATTTGCTATTCATTTAGTTAAAAAACATATTATATATATAAAAAAAATTAAAAGTTCATGTTAAATATTTTTTAAAATTCATAAATTAAATAGACATAAAAGTTAAAATATAAACTTGTAATTTACTATTTTTATTAATTTTCATGTAATTTTCAGTAATATTTTATAAATTAATTTTTAAAGTTCTGCCAAACCTTTTATTTTCATTTTGTCTTCGTTTGGACAATTTTTGGTATATTTTCTTTTTTAGTTTCTTTTTTTTTTTTCTTAAAGCTTTAGAATCTCATGCTACCAAAAAAAGTGTCGACTTTAAATTTTATAATAATTTTTTCTTCAAAAGAAAAAAAAAAAACCATTAATACTTTAAAATTATATATTTTCGCCTTTTTCTTTTCTCTTTTTTTTTCGTGGGTCAATTTTTAAAAATATGCAATATCCCATAATTATTTGGGGGGAAAAAAGAAATTTTAATAATTTTTTTTCTCGTTTATTCTATGAAAAATATTTATTAAAAAGAAATGAGATGAAATTGTGATTTTTTTATATTAAATAAATAATAATTAAAGATGATTTGGAGATGGGGGAAGGCGCGTGGGGAAAGAGTATCCAATGATTGTTGACTGTCTGGAGAAGGAGAAACAAGTCAACACACACGTGTGCAATGATGGGACCATGTGTTGTCCCCTCCTGCACGTGACCCCCACTCCTCCTTCCCCACCTTATCTCTCTCCTCTCCCCCACTGGACTTTCAACTTTCCCCTCACGCGCCGCCCACTTTAATCTTCTCTTTCCAACATGGTAAAAGTCAATTTTTTACCTTACAAAATTTTAAATCTATATAAATTCTAAATTTTTATGAAAATTATTTATTTATATTTTAAATTTAAATAAATCAATTTATTATTATTATTATTTTATTTTTATTTTTTGTTTAATAAGACTGTTGATCTTTTATTTATTTTTATGCATTTGTGTCAATTATTTGGTAGCTAATATTAACTGGGTTAAAAAAAACCTTTTAAACAAACTCTAAATTTTGGATTTGAGCAATTCAAATAGAGTTCTCAACTCAACCTAACCCTCTATTTTCAAGTTGGGTTTGGTTGAGTTATTTGATTTTTTACTGACCTATCAACAATACATATTACAGGTCACAATACATTATAAACACTAGTACAAACTTAAATATTCTTAATATTTTAAAAATTAAGGTAGGATTGGATTATAACCCTATTTTTTGGGTGGTCAAGTTGATTCGATAAGAAAAAAAATATCAACTGGTAAACTAAATTGAATCTTCAATTTTTCTAAAATTCAACCCGACTCGATCTTTATAGTTTAGGTTGAATAATCTGAATTAATCAGGTTATCAAATCATATAAACATCCCTGCTCCTAACCTTAATGTGTTAATTATTCTATCTCATATTCATTAGTCGATAACGTGTGAATTGGAAACTGGTCCACGTGGACCAGTTGAAAGCAAAAAAGTAGGTCAAATTGTATAGTTTTTATTTGTGATTGAAAAATTAAAAATATATTTTTTTTAGAAGTTGCCATGAATTAAATTTGTAATTCCTGACCAGTGACAATGACATATGCTTAGGGCTATAATTATTTGAAAAAGACAATTTCTGATACAAATTTTAAAATTTTAAAATTGTTATAAGCTTTAATTGGAGCCTGTCCATATACCAAACAACAACTTAAATTTATATCCCTTTCAAAATTTAAAAAAAAAAATACAAATAAACTTATATCTATAATTAAAAATTTAAATCATGCTGTTTTATGATTTTAGTCGCAAATATTGGGAGTGTCGATGTGACCCCATAACTCCACAAACCTGAACTATTCATCCTAAACTATTAGATTTGTTAGATATTTTTTCCGTTTGGGTTGTGTGTTGAGTTTTTTTTTGTTTTTTTTTAAACCGAAAATTTTAAACGATCTATAGGTTGACATTTTTTATTTGTGTTAACCTAATCCAGCGAAAAATAGAGTTATAACCTAATCCAACCCTACTTTTAAGATTATTATGAAAGTCAAGAACATTTAATGTTTCAATGTGACTGGTAAATATTTGATATTTGAGGTCTATAAAATATTACTTAAATAAAAATGAGAGGAAATAAATTTAAGAATTAAAATAAAATAAATGCTTCTTATATAAATTTTAGAAACTAAAGTATATATTTAATTATTTTATGATATAATTTCTCCCCATTTTTTTTATTATTGTTGTTAATTTTATTTTCAAACATGTGAGAGTAAAAAAAAAAGAAATTAATTTATAGTTCTAGATGGCGACGTTTTTATTTATTTATTTATTTATATTTTTATATTTTTAAGAAGGATTTCAAATTTTGGGAAAAAGAAAAAGGAAAAAAAATAAATAAATAAAGGTGGGCCCAGGGTAATCGGTTTCCCAAGGTTTGATTGATGGGAAAGATTAGCCTTCCATTGTAATCTAGATTCTAGAAGCTTTTCTTCAAATTGGTCCACACATTCTAGATAATAGGCTTGTGAAATAACCTTTATTTATTTATTTATTTATTTATTTATTTATTATTATTATTATTATTATGACGTGATTATTTTAAAAAATACTCGGTAAGTAACTTTATTATTGTAGTTGAAAATGCATACATAAATAATCACAGTGATACCTATCATTTAAAAACATTTCATGGTCTTGAGCTTTACTTTTTAGTCTGAACAAAAATTGGATGTGTAGTATTTCTCTACACACGACCCACATACGTACACATGGACCCATTAGCATAGTCTGGACCTACCCTTCAATTAATGCACACTCACATTATCAGTCATGGAGAGAAAAAAGGCCGCTTAATATCATAACATACGTAGATATCATAACGTATGCAGTCATCATAGCAGGAAAATATCCCGATGCATGTGATATTAAAAAAATGCATGAGATCTTTATAACTTTAAGTCAAGCAGGTTGTACATTCGCTCTTGCATAAACATAACTTTCGTGAGTGCATACGTGGTGTAAAATATTTCATAATCCTGAATTAATCTTGTTAACATAGTGTGCATGATATGACATACAAAGGTATTATGCATCATACAACATGGAAGTCACAACAAGATCCATAACTTAACATCAAAGTCACAACGTACGTGTCTTTCATACTTAATTCAATTCACCCAACAAAGTCAATAATATGACCACTAAACTGAGTAGCTTAAGAAGAAGTCACTAATTTATCACTGAAGCAAGTACGAATCTGTGTCTTGAAATCCAAGTCAACTTATGTGAGTCCACAACATTATATTAGAATATGTTGAGCGTTTCAATCCATCTAATAATGAAACCTCCAATTTAACTTAAAATATTTTAAATTGGCTAAACAGTAGTCGTAGCAAATCAAGTGTCTTTGGAAAAGTCAACCGGCACAATCATTTGATACGTAAACTCATAAACATTAATTAAATGAGACATGTAACATGTGGAAAGTCATAAACAGTTATGAATATATAAAACTTTGCTGAATTTATTCCTTAAAAAAATGCATTAATTATGGGGTATAAAAAAATAAAAAGAATTTGTGGGGTATTATTTAATTTGAAGATTGTGAAAATGATGAGTCGCACCAATCCTTCATACTTTTTTTCATCACATTACTACCACAATCAATTTTCCCTCATATTTATTAATTTTTATTTTATTTTTCAAATATTTTGTTTACTTTTTTAACAAATAAAATAAAGTGTTCATAAGTCATTGACTTTTTAAAGTATCTCTACCACTTTTCGTGTGTGGAAAAAAAAAACGTGTAATTTATCTAATTTGAATAAATTTCACAAGTCAACTTAAAAATAAAGAGTTAGATTGAGTTATTGCGTTGTTATTTTTTTAATTATTAAAAAAATCTACTTATCTACGGCACATGTTACATTAATGATTAAAATTTAATAAAACTCGATTATCAAATATTCACAAGCATCACTGACTTAGTTACAAACTTTAAATATTTTTAATTTTTATAATTATGTTAAAGTTAAAATAAACTTTATAATAATTTAAATTAGATAAGTCAGATTCTTGAGGGACGATCCCAATCTTTTGACCACAAATAAACTAAAAGAATATCAATTAATTAAAAAGTTATTCAAAATATTATATTCATTAATTTAATGGAAAAATATATATAATTATATTTATTAGACATAAACTGACAATTTAAAATAATTGAGAATGGAATTGGAGTCCAGAAGACAAATGTTGTGATTAAATATATATTTTATTAGAAGCCATCCTCATTTTACAAACTCCACACGTGCTACCCACGTCACGCGCGTGAGGTCCATCACGTGGGCCCACCGTCATCTGAAAATCCTCTGCATATAACCAATTTGCCTCAATGCCTGTGGGCCCCATCTCCACGTGATTTTGAGTAGCACAATCATGAACTGATAATTCATTGCGCGTGGCAAGTACTCGGTCAACGAGCGGGAAAGCCGCTTTTTCACCTTATGTTTAAAACACAGTTAACCACGGTAAAACTTTTATTTTGACTTAACCATGGTTAAAAGTAAAAACCCTAAGGAGAGCGAGAAAAAAAAAAAAAAAAAAAAAAAAGCCATTTTATCATGATTGAGCCAATAGGGTGTGTGTGTCATAAGTGATGATTAAATCTACACCCCTCGTGTCTCTCTCCCTCCCTCTACCTGTATA